CCCTCTAAACAGTACTACCTTGTAGTTGCCTCGCTTACCCGTAGGGCCTAGGCAGGTGGGGGGTCGGATGCAACGTGGCGAGGTCCATTCAGCAAAGAGGATTGGATAGAGCTCCTGAATGTGGACGTGTTGTAAGCAGAGATGCAGAAAAGCAGTTCAATCTCGAATTCCTGCACATCTCCAAAAACTCGTCCAGATTCATGCGTTCAATCCAATCCTTGTTTTTTGTGGGACCTCGCCCCAGGATGTCAAAACAGGACCTTGATAACCAATAATCATGACAGAAAATCGACCAGTACTTTTTTTTTTTTTTTTTTTTTTTTTCAGAACTTCCATATTATCTATGATAATGTGGAATTACCTGGGGCGTGGTCCCACTAGCAAAGAGGATCGGATAGAGTGCATGAATTTGGACGAGTTTATGGAGATGTGCAGGAAATCGAGACTGAACTGCTTTTCTGCATCTGTGCTTAAAACACGACCAGATTCAGGAGCTCGATCCTATCCTTTTTGCTAGAGGGACCTCGGCCCTGGGGGCAGTCAACTGTGGATCATAGTTTTTTTTTTTTTTTTTTCCCCGAAAGGTTTCTCGTCTCAATATACGGATTCTTGTTACACTGGGGATGCCAAAATAGCTACGTACATGAAGTGATACCACTCGAGACATTCCGTCCAACTTGAAAGAATACTCGCCTAACAGGATGTCGGCATCACCCCCGTCCGAGACAGAGGCATATCAAACGTGCGCTACGCCGTGTCGACTAAACTCCCCGCGACTTACTTCTGGACCGGTACATCGCATACTGCATATTGAGAGAGATTGCATTGGACCTCATTCGACAACCTACTTCACCTTTGTGATAGTCCGTAAAGTTCGCCTTTTCTGTCCCTCATTCACAAAAGATTACTGAATTACCCGCTCAACCAGGTATGTTTATTGCTATTCGACGTTTTCTACCCGTCATCCATAAACTGTGGATCATAGTAGATACATGTACTAGGTAAAATCCTGCGGAGGGAAAAAAGAAAGAAAAAAGAAAAAAGCATTATGAGGAGACTGCAGGGGGCCTCTCTGACAGGTCATTCCTTCTACCGTCTTCCCCCGAACACAACGCACCCCCATTTTGCCTGTATAGGTCCTGAAACACACCTTGTATACGTTCATTTTCAGGGTGCGTTATGTTCGGGGGAAGACGGTAGTATCAGGTCCCCCCGGCCACACAGCCCTCTGGCCGTGCGAATGGTTGGGCCATGGCCACACAGCCCTCAACCAAGTAACTCAAGCATCTGGAACGGTGAAAATTGAGAAAACAAGAATCCTTGTTAAATTTCAAACGAGCCAGCAAAATATCTCAAATTTAACGAAAAGTCAGATGCAAGAAATCTGGCCAGGCCCAGCGGTATATAGAGGGGCCAGTCCTCAGCTGAGGGTATTGAGTCCTTCAGTCTGCTGGAGCACACTTGGGCAACGCGCTGCGGGAGAGCAGCGGCTAGTCCTATTCATCACATTGGTGCTCCTTGGGACCTGTGCATCGCTCATCCTCAGATACGCATGCATCAATATATCTCAAGACTGCCGCCATTTTCTTCAAAAAAAAAAAAAGCAAAAAAAAAAAAAGAAGCAATTCTAATTTCTATACCCCTCAGGTGTAACCGTGTGAGGTCATTCCAGGGTGAGGGTAAGTATGCAAAGCAGCAAAGGTGACTGCATCTAACCATATACCTGACTGAATCCACTAGAAGAATAGTGCCCTTACTGAGGCCAACTCTGCATACTTGCATGGTTTATCTTTTTTTTTTTTTTTGAGGTATTAAGTACGTTCATGTCACTTTTGAGTATAGAATGGGGGAAAAAAACATGCATCGGCAATTTGAAAGAAAACTGCGCCCAGTTCGAAAAGGCACAACGTAAGTACTGACGGCCGTGGTGTCAGATCGGGTGGTGTCATATTTACAGGGGTCCGCAGTGGTGTCAGAGGGGAAAAAATAAAAACGAAAAAAAGAAAATGGCCAACGGGTACTTTTGGATCGAAATCTCTCATTTCGAGTTCGCAAATGCTTTCTTTGCCTATGCAAGTTTTTTGTGCCTGTAGAGTTTCAAAACATACCGCCTCGGCTGTTGTTGTTGTTGTTGTTGTTGTTGTTGTTGTTGTTGTTTTTTGTGCATGGTTTAATCTATGCGTCTTGCAATGCTTGCATGCTTCCAGCGACCTAGCTCAGCTGTTTAGGCACGTAAGTGGCATTCACTAGGTCATGTGAACAACCATCCCCACTTACTAACTGGGGCACTCTTGGTGCCTACCAACTCAGATGGTTGCCTTCCTCCCCTTGCTCTATATTTTAGCCATCACGTGTATGTGTGTTTGTCTGTGTTTGTATTTTTGTGTGTGTGTGTGTTTGTCTGTGTTTGTGTTTGTGTGTGTGTGTGTTTGTCTGTGTTTGTGTTTGTGTGTGTGTGTGTTTGTGTGTGTGTGTGTTTGTCTGTGTTTGTGTTTGTGTGTGTGTGTGTGTGTGTGTGTGTGTTTGTGTGTGTG